ACGTGGGAGAGCAGAGAACCTGCCTCATACGGTTAAAAAAGGACACAAACTGGAGGTGATGGTTCTGTTGGCATAGTTGAGACTGTAGCTTCAAATCCCAGTACTAAAGAAGGAGGAAGAGGAGGAGAAGTGTTGATAAAGATGCAGAGCCGGAGGTGGTAGTGCAGGAGGTGGTGATGCACGCCTTTAATCCCAGGAGGCAGAGGCAAGCAGATCTCTGCATTCAAGGTCAGCCAGGTCTACAGAGTGAGTTCCAGGACAGCCAGGACTGTTACACAGAGAAACCCTGTCTCGAACCACCCCCTCCAAAAAAATAAAACTAAAACAGGGTTGCTGATCAATGGATACAGGCTCACAGCCAGGCAAGATGAAACAGTTCTAGAGATCTGTCATACCACAGTGCACATCATACATGGCAAGGTGGGACACACCTGCAGTCCCAGACACTTAGGACACTGAGGGAGGAGGATCACTTGAAGCCAGGAGTTCAAAACCAGTCTGGGGCAACAAATTAAAAGTGTTCTCTGAGCCGGGCGGTGGTGGCGCACGCCTTTAATCCCAGCACTTGGGAGGCAGAGGCAGGTGGATCTCTGTGAGTTCGAGGCCAGCCTGGTCTACAAGAGCTAGTTCCAGGACAGGAACCAAAAGCTACGGAGAAACCCTGTCTCGAAAAAATCAAAAAAAAAAAAAAAGTGTTCTCTGTCTACCTATCTACCTATCTCTCTATCTCTCCTCTCAAGGACCTCTATAGTAGCCTCGAACTTGCAACAATCCTCCTGCATCAACCTTCCCACTACTAAGAGCACATGTGTACAGCACTAAACTTATAAAACATTGTCTCAGATCTTATGTGGGGCTGGAAAGGAGGCTCAGTGGTTAAGAGCACTGTCTGTGCTTTATTTTTGTTTGCTTTGTTTCATTTTTGTTTGTTTTTCAAAACAAGATTTCTCTGCAGCTTTGTCCCGGAGCCTGTCCTAGAACTTGCTCTGTAGACCAGGCTGGCCTCGAACTCACAGAGACCCACCTGCCTCTGCTTCCCAAGTGCTGGGATTTAAAACGTGCGCCACCATCGTCGGGCAGACGCTGGTTGCTCTTGTAAAGGACCCATTTTACTTCCCAGCACTCCCAGCAGCTCAACCATTGTGACTCCAGTTCCAATGCATCCAATGTCCTCTTCAGCCTCTCAGGGCACCAGCACGCACATGGTACACAGACACACATGTAGGCAACAGACATATAGACATAAAAAGTTTTTGGGCAGTGAATCCCAGTACCTGGGAGGCAGAGGCAAGCGGATCTCTGTGAGTTCAAAGCCAACCTGGTCGGGGGCTGGAGAGATGGCTCAGTGGTTAAGAGCATTGCCTGCTCTTCCAAAGGTCCTGAGTTCAATTCCCGGCAACTACATGGTGGCTCACAACCATCTGCAAAGAGGTCTGGTGCCCTCTTTTGGCCTGCAGACACACACACAGACAGAATATTGTATACATAATAAGTAAATATTTTAAAAAAAAAGCCAACCTGGTCTACAGAGTGAGTTCCTGGACAACCAAGGCTACACAGAGAAATCCTAGCTTGAAAAATCAGAAAAAAAATATATATACATAACATTAATAATAATATATTGTGCTGTGTATACTAAAAAGTAGAAGACGTTAATTTAAAAAAAATTGGTAAACACACCTTCAGTACTAACACTTGAGAGGTAGAGGCAGCTGGATCATTGTGAGTTCGAGCTCAGCCTGGTCCACATAGTGAGTTCTGGACCAGTCAGAAATACATAGAGAGACCATATAGCTATAACAAGCAAACAAAAAAACCCTATGCTGTGTGTTGTCATGGTTGATAGTAGATGGTAGATGGATGGACTGTGTAAGACTGACACCAAAAAATGTACAAGCGAGTTCTTTGCCATTCAGTTAGGCAGTGTTACTATCTGGAGGAGGCACAGGTGTTGCCTCGCCTTTGCTTTTGACTGGAAAAGGACTACTGTGGCTCTCTGTTCCCCGAACAGACCAGTCCCTCAGGCAACAGAACACCAGCTGCAGCCCCCACCCCCATGTCCATGGCTCCTGTGGATACCACAAATCATCCCTTCATAACTTGCTCCCCGACTCATTGCTGCATCCCAGCCTCCACCACTCACAGGCCTTCCCTGTGAACACACCAGCTGAGCAGGCCAGCCACACAGACAAAAGACAGCCACGACATTCTCAAAATCCAGAGAGGGAACAGAACACCCACCCAACAAGACAAACCCAGGAATCAGCACCTACACCTATAGTTATCCAAACCTAGATGCCCAGATGCCAGGGTAAGAACACAATCAATAACAGCCAGGACAATATGTCTCCACCAGAGCCCAGCTAGCCTACCACAGCAGGCCGTGAATATTCCGACGTAGCTGAAGTACAAGAAAAAGATCTTAAAGCCAACCTTATGAAGCTGATAGAAGTTCCTAAGGAGAAAATAATAAACCCCTCAAAAAAAAAAAAAAAAAACACAAGCAACTGGAAGAAATTAATACATCCCTTAAAGAAAGCCAAGAAAAAACAGTTTAAGAAAATGAATAAAACTGTTCAAGATCTGAAAATGGAAATAGAAGCAATAAAACACAAAATGAAAGAATTTTGGGGAAAAAAAATTAGGTATCTAAAAAGAAACTACAGAGACAAGCTTCACCAACAGAATACAAAAGATGATGGGCCATGAGGTGGTGGCGCACGCCTTTAATCCCAGCCCTTAGGAGGCAAAGGCAGGCGGATCTCTGTGAGTTCGAGGCCAGCCTGGTCTACAAAAGCTAGTTCCAGGACAGGCTCCAAAGCTACAGAGAAACCCTGTCAAAAAAAAAAACAAAACAAAACAAAACAAAAACAAAAAAAAAATGAGAGAATCTCAGCCATTGATGATAGGACAGAACAAATGGATTCATAGGTCAAGGAAAATGTTAAGTCTAAAAAATTCCTGACACAAAAAATCCAGAAAATCTGCGACACTATGAAAAGACCAAACATAAGAATAATAGGGATAGAAGAAGAAAACTCTCAGATCAAAGGCACAGAATATATATTCAACAAAATCATAGAAGAAAATTTTCCTAACCTAAAGAAGATGTCTATTTAAAAAAAAAAAAGTACAAGAAGCATAGAGAACACCAAATAGATAGGACCAGAAAAGAAAGTTCCCCTTGTCACATAACAATCAAAACACTAAACATACAGAACAAAAAAAGAGTATTAAAAGCTACAGTAGAAAAAGACCAAGTAACAAATACAATATAAACCTGTTAGAATTACACCTGACTTCTACACAGAGACTCTAAAAGCCAGAAGGGCCTGGACAGATGTGCTGCAGACTCTAAAAGACTACAGATGCCAGCCCAGACTACTATACCCAGCAAAATTTTCAGTCACCATAGATGGAAAAATAAGACATCCCATGATAAAGTCAAATTTAAACAACATCTATCTACAAAACCAGCCCTACAGAATGTGCTAGAAGGAAAACTCCAAACAAAGGAGGTTATCCACACCCATAAAAATACAGGAAATAAATCATCTCACACCAGCAAAACCAAATGAAGGGAAGAACACACCACAGTCATACACACTCACACACACACCAACGAGAGCAACAATATAATAACAGGAATCAACAATCATTGGTCACTGATATCTTCTCTGTTACAGAGAAATCTTGTCTCGGAAAACAAAACAACAACAAAAAAGAGTTTGGTATTTTCACGTGGAACCTAATTAAGAATATCTACCTATCTTACGGTTTAGAAAACCCCAGCATCTCCCAGAAAAATACTACTTACGAACTGAAAATTGTAGAGACCCCTGTCTATACTTAATATTGGAGAAAGGATAATGCCTAGACACTTTCAAACATTACATATGTCAATATAAAAGACATTTAACAAATTTCTGTAAATAAATACCTTTCTTCCTAAAAAGCAAGCCAGTCATCAATTCTGGTTGGTTAACATTTTAAAACCAGCAGAAACATTTAAGAACACAGGGCTTCCTGCTCTGCCAGGAAAGGGTACACGTGGGTCTTTTCATCCTAGTCCCTTGCCACAGCTTTAAGGTTCACAACCCATCACTGCACTGTGAACCATCTAATGGAGCCACTACAAACGCTAGCTGTGTTCACTAAATCAATGGTCTCAAATCCCCAATAAAAAGATACAGACTAACAGAATGGATGTGAAAACAGGACATATCCTTCTGATACATACAAGAAATACAATTCAACATCAAAGATAGACATTATCTCAGAATAAATGATTATAAAAAGATATTCCAAGCAAATGTTCCTAAGAAGCAAGCTACTATAGCCATTTTAATATCTAACAAAAACAACAGAAAGCTTATAAATTCATGGAAACTGAACAACTCTCTACTGAATGAAAAATGGGTCAAGACAAAATAAATTAATTAATTAAAGACTTTCTAGAATTCAATGAAATTTAACACATTGCATACTCAGATTATGGGACACAATGAAAGCAGTACTAAGAGGAAAGTTCACAGCACTGTCTACATAAAAAAACTGGAGAGATCTCATACTAGGCACTGAAAGTTTTTGAACAAAAAGAAGCAAGCACACAGAAGAGGAGTGGATGGTAAGAAATAATCAAACTGTGGGCTGAAACCAATAAAATAGAAACAAAGAGAACAATATCAAAGAGTCAATGAAACAGAGAATTGGTTCTTGGAGATAGATAGACAAACCTTTATCCAAACTAACTAAAAGATGAAGAAAGACTATCCAAACTAACAAATCAGAAGTTAAAAGGCCAGCCTGGTCTACAAGAGCTAGTTCCAGGACAAGAAAAGAAAGAAAGAAAGAAAGAAAGAAAGAAAGAAAGAAAGAAGGGAGGGAGGGAGGGAGGGAGGGAGGGGAGGGGAGGGGAGGGGAGGGGAGGGGAGGGGAGGGGAGGGGAGGGGAGGGGAGGGGAGGGAAGACAGGAGCCCAAGCTGTCGGGTCTGGTCCAGGCCTCAAGGACCAACAAATGGTCCCATCAGCTGTTCCTCATGTCCCAGAAGTCTTCACACTGAAAGAAAAAGGGACCCTCAGGAAGACAGCTTCCCAGAATTCACGCCTGTGGGCCCAGCTCAGCACTGTACAAGCCAGTGACTCCACAGATGACACCAGAGATACCAAAATCAGTTCCTTGACAAACTCCAGATGGCTTCCGGCTGGGTCCAGATGCTGCGGAAGTGGAGGCTCATGCCCAGAGCCTGGAGAAGGACCGTACACTGCTGAGATCGCGGGTGCTGGAAGGGCTGCAGACCACTGCTGGCTCCACGGGATGCAGGCGCACCAGCAGCTGTGACAGAACTACCAGGACCACGCTTCCTGGAGAAGCCCACCCAGACCTCGTCACTCTTCCTGCAGCCCTGGGCTCCTTCTCTACTCTAGCATCAAGGAGCTGCAGACCTTGGCTACCTTAGGGCTTCATGTGGCCATGCTAGCCCAGCAGATCCATCTAGAAAAGGTTCTGATGGCTGAACTCCTCCCTCTGATAAACACCCAGGAGCCAGGAGGGCCACCTTGGCTGGAGGTGAGCACTTCCTCACAGCCCTTGGAGATGATCATGTAGGCTGGGCAGAAGCCTCCTCTCTGGGAGAGTCTCCCTCCTCTCAGCTGGAGTGAAGTGAGCAGGGATTGCGGGGGATTTTCCTGTTTGGAGGAAGCTAAAAGCACAGAGTCAGCTGTGACTTCCATGAGAAAGCTGGTGGTCAGGATGTGTGTGTGTTTATATTGTATCAAAGCCGGGTTTGGTGAGGAGCTTTTCATGGTCCTGCTTCTTCTTAGTGGTTTGAAGGATTTTATTAATTAAGGGCTTGGGCACACCTATAATCTCACCGCTGGGGAAGCTGAGGCAAGGGGGTTCTAAGTTTAAGGACAGCCTGAAACCCTGTCTAGATTAAATAAATAAAGGAAAGAATATATCAAGCAAAAAAAAAACAAAAAAAAATGGCAAATGGACTGAGAAAAAAATCAGGGAAACAACACCCTTCATGACAGCTTCAAATAATATAAAATGTCTTGGGGTAACTCTAACCCAGCAAGTGAAACACAAAAACTTCTTTCTTTGAAGAAAGAAGTTGAAGAAGATAACAGAAGATAGAAAGATCTCCCATGCTCATGGATTGAGCAATCTACAGATTCAGTGCAATCCCCATCAAAATTCCAACACAATTCTTTTTTTTGTTTTGTTTTGTTTTGTTTTTCTAGACAGGGTTTCTCTGTAGCTTTGGAGCCTGTCCTGGAACTAGCTCTTGTAGACCAGGCTGGCCTCGAACTCACAGAGATCTGCCTGCCTCTGCCTCCCGAGTGCTGGGATTAAAGGCGTGCGCCACCACCGCCCGGCATCACAATTCTTTATAGAATTTGAAAGGCCAATTCTCACACAGAAAAACAGAAACCCAGAGTAGATAAAACAATCCTGAATAATAAAGGAACTGCTAGAGGCATCACCATCCCTGATTTCAAGCTGTAATAAAAACTGTGTGGTATTGGCATAAAATCAGACATGTGAATCAATGGAATCAGACTGAAGACCCAGACATAAATCTACATACCTACAGACACCTGATTTTTGATAAAGAAGCCAAAAACACACAATAGAAAAAAGACAACATTGCTGTCAGAAATCACCTTCCAGCCACTTCCTCCCTCCCCAAAAATAAGTGCTATCAGGGCCGGCTTGATCAGCTAGGTCCGCTGTTGTGAGCTTTCCCTAAGTGCAACTGTATGGTGTACACTGTGTCTTACTTGGCTTCTTTGCCCTAGAAAAGAATACAAGGGCTCTCTGGTGCTGGTTACATAGGTGCATTCGTTTTATCAATATTTACCAACCTGTACCAACAATCATGCTTTGTGCACTGTTCTATGTATGTAAATACAGCTAAATAAAAATGTTTAGTTATAAAAAAAGAAAAAGACAACATCTTCAACAAATGGCGCTGGTCAAAATGGATATCTGCATGTGGAAGAATGCAAACAAATTCATATTTATAACCTTACAGAAACTAAAGCCCATGTGGATCAAAGACCTCAACATAAAACCAGATCCACTGAACCAGACAGAAGAGAAAGTGGGGATACTTTTGAACTCATTGGCACAGGAGAGAACTTCCTGAGCAGAAAGAACACCAATAGCACAAGCACTAAGATCAACAACTAATAAATGGGACCTCATGCTGTGGGATGTCCTTCTGAGCACTGTGAATATGTTTTGCTCTCACTGGTTGATAATATAAGCTGATTTGGCCTATAGCCAGGCAGAATAAGCCTGGGCAGAAAAGCCAAACAGAGATACATGGAGAAGGAAGGGCATAGTCAGAGAGATATGTGAGCCAGTCTCCCAAGAAGCAAGATGCCAGAGGACTGGTAAAGCCACAGCCACATGACAGTACATAGATTAATAGAAATGGGTTAATGTCAATGTAAGAGCTAGTTAGTAATAAGCCTGAGTTATCAGACAAACATTCTATAGTTGACAGTAAACCTCTAAGTGATTATTTAAAAGCAACTGCGGGATGGGGTGGGACAGAAAAACTGTTTACAGCCTCATGAAACTGAACAGTTTCTGGAAGGCAAAGGACACCGTCAATAGGACAAAGCAGTAGCCTACAGAATGGGAAAAGATTATTGCTAACTCTGCGTCTGATGGAGGGCTAATATCCAAATATATAAAGAACTGAAGAAACTAGATATCAAATAAACCTAGTGGTGCAATTTAAAAATGGGGTACAGATCTAAGCAGAGAATTCTCAATGGAGGAATTTCAAATGGGCAAGAGATAGTCTTTAAAAAGTTTAACACCCTTAGCCATCAGGAAAATGCAAATTACATCAAAACTACTTTGAGATTCTATTTACACCTGTCAGAATGGCCAAGATCAGTAACACAAGTGACAGCTCATACTGGTGAGGCTGTGGAGCAAAGGGAACACTCCTCCATTGCTAGTGGAAGTGCAAACTTGTACACTATGGAAATCAATATGGCAGTTCCTAAAAAAATTGGGAATCAATCTACTTCAAGACCAAGCTATATGGGGGTTGAAGAGATGGCTCAGTGGTTAAGAGCACTGACTGCTCTTTCAGAGGACCCAGGTTCAATTCCCAGCACCCACCTGTTAGCTCACAACTGTCTGTAACTCCAAGATTTGACACCAGTGCACATAAAATAAAAATAAATAATTTTTTAAAAGACCCAGCTATACAACTCTTGGGCATATACCCAAAGGACATTCCATCCTACTACAAGGATGCTCACTCAACTACACTCATTGTGGCTTTATTCATAATAGACAGAAACTGGAAGCAACCTAGATGCCCCTCAACCAAAGAATGGATAAAGAAAAAGTGGTACACTTACAAAATGGAGTATTATCCATCTGTTAAAAAAATGACATAATGAAACTTTCAAGCAAATAGATGGAACTAGAAAAAAAAATCATCCTGAGAAAGGTAATCCAGACCCAGAAAAACAAATATGTCATGTATTCACTTATAAGTGGATATTAGTCATTATGTAAATGATAATCAAGCTATAATTCATAGACCTAGGGAGGCTAGGTAAAGAAGAGGGCTTGAGGGGGGACATATGGATCTCTCTGGGAAGGGGAAATAGAATAGAATTTGAAGGTGGATTGGAGTGGAAGGGGATGGGAGAGGGAGGGGTTGGGATAGAGAAAGAGTGCAGGGAGAAACAGCTGGAGTTGGGCTGCATTACGAGATGGTGTGGAACTTGCACAGTGGAAGCTATGAAGACGGTCCTCAGGAGGACTCCTAGTAATGGGAAATACAGAGTCTGAACTGGCCATCTTCTGGAGCCAAGCAGGCCTCTCAATGGCGGGACTAGGCTGCATTTGGTTGACTTGTTGGCCAAGTCGGCCTGAGGAGATCCCCAAACAACCAAGGCTGATGCTAGGACAGAGCGATGCTGACTGCAAACTGGCAGTGGGACCCCATTGCTGAGGACAACGGTCACACAGCTCACTGAATGTGGGGAGGTCAAGTGGGTGCCTGCAGGGAGCCTTCATCCCTACGCTCTAGTCTCTTTGGTGTGGAAGATACTTGGCAGGCCCCAGAGTACCTTCTCACCAAAAGAAACCTGGACACCCATCCAACCATGAAACCTTTGGCCTGCATCCTGCCTGCAAGATGTCCTGGAGCAACGGCGCTGCAGAACTTATGGAAGTGGCCAACCATGTCTGATTTAACCTGAGGCCCACTCAGTGAGAGGGAGTCCATGCCAGACATTGGTTGACTGGCCGGGAACCAGAAACCTAAGGTAGAACTAAACAGAACTGGTATTTTTTAAAAAATCAATTAAATAATTCCTAATGATATTCTGCTATGCTCATAGATCACTGCCTTTGTCCAGTGGCCTTGTCCAGTGGTCAAAAGAGAGGCTTTCTCTGGCAGGAACAGATGCAGAGACCCCACAGCCAGGCATCATGTGGCAAGAGAGTCTATATTTGAAGTCTCTATCTGATTCGTCCCATCAGAGCTCAGAGAACCACGAGGAAGAGGGGAAGACAGATTGTAGGACTCAGAGGGGATGGAGCGCACCAGGAAAACATGGCCCACTGAATCAACTAAGCAAGGCTCACATGGGCTCACAGAGACTGAAGCAGCAAGTTTGGGGCCTGCATGGGTCTGTACAAAGTCCTCTGCATACATGTTGTTACTGTTAGCTTGGTGTTTTTGAGGAATTTGTAACTGTGGGAGCAGGTGTGCCTCTGACTCTTTTGTCTGATCTTGGGATTCTTCTTCTCCTATCAGGTTGCCTTGTCCAGCCTCGGTGTAAGGGTTCTTGCCTTGTCTTTTTGTGTTTTGTTTTGTTGTGTTGTGTTTGGTTGTTGTCTCTTGGAGGCTTGCTCTTTTCTTAAGGGAAAGTGAAGCAGAGCGGATCCAGGAGAAAGGAGAGGTAGGGGGAGCTGGGAGGAATGGAAGGAGGAGGAACCAGAGTCAGGATGTATTGATGAGAGAAGTATCTACTTTCAATAAAAGGATAGATAGATAGATAGATAGATAGATAGATAGATAGATAGATACACAGACAGACAAGGGAGGCCAGCAGTGCCTTGAACCAGCTGGTCTGAGGCTCACCAGCTGAAAATCCTTACATGAACTCTAATAAAATGTCTCTGCACCTGGGCCTGGTGGTGGCCCACGCCCTTAATCCCAGCAGTCCGAAGGCTCGGATCTCTACGAGTTCAAGGCCAGTCTGGTCTTTACAGTAAGACTCCTGCCTAAAAAATTAAATAAACAAAAGCAATGGGGGGGGGAGCAAAATACTCTCTGCCCCTGCACTTCTCTGGGGCAATCTTAAATTGTGGGGACAGGCAGGGTTTCCTGCCATGTGCCTACTGAGGGCTCCTCGGTGCAGGAACAGAGGGAGATGGAAAAGTTGGCATTGCTCCCAGCAGCTGAAAACTGTGGTTCCTGTCTGTCTCTGGCTTCCCACACCTTTACACCATTCCTCACCCAACGTCTCTGTACATTAGAATCATCCTCTGAGGAGGATCTCAGCCTTCCGTGCAACTCGTGGTTCAAGACTGAGGTTCCTAGCCCTCTCATTTAA